ATTTTTTTCTTTTTGAGATAAGGCCTTTCTATGTGTAGCTCTTTAAATTATCTAGTACTTTACTTTGGAAAGGGAACTGTTTTAGCTCAACCTTTTCAGCATTAAAAATCAATTTAAAAAATCTTATTGTACTGAAGGCGTGGAGAGCAGAGAGAACATCCAGGCAGGGTTTGTGTGACCATGTTTATTTCACTTGGGTGCAAGTGGGGTAACTCCAAAAAGAGAGTCAGCCTGAGCAAGGAGAGAACAAAGGCTTTAAAAGGGAGGTGGTTGCCAGGGGGTTGGTCTGGAAGAGGTTGCTGCCTTGAGGAATTGGAGGGGGTGTGGAGAGACAGTGGCTGCACTCATCAGAATGGGAGACGTAGATGTAATCAAACTTTCTGGAACTAAGGGTGGTGCAGATCTACTTGGGCCTCCTGGAACTGAGGGTTTGGGACTTGGTGCTTGCAATGGCCTTCCCCATGGGGCATGATACTTATCGTGCTTTCTCCAACTCTGTGGACTCCTATTTTGAAAATAATAGCCAGTAAACAGCTGATATTTCTTGCATAACAATTACTCTGGACCTGCTGACCTCCTGTTTCATTGGTTGTGTGTCTGACCTTCCAATCACATTGTTACTCTAGAGTGGGCTGATATAGTCCAGGCTCTTCTGTAGGATGAGGAAAGAATTGCTAAGTGTACACTCAACAGCAAGAGTTAAGCAGCTACATTTATTGAAGATCATGAGAAGTTGTGCTCAGGGCAAGTCAGTGCCAACAAAAAAGAAACCTGGGGAGGCCCACGGTTCCTCTACTGCTGCTTGACAAAGTTCCAGCAATGATGGGCCTTGGGTTGAAAGCATTGCTCCGGCTTTTATCTTTGCTTGTACTTTTGATTAGCTTAATTATAATTACAGAAATGTTGTTTTAGTGAGGAAACCTGTACAAGCTACTTCTGAGAAATATGTGTCCATTGTGTCAGTCATCAAACCCCTAAGTGTGACCCCTGATCCAGGGACTTTCTTTGAAGGGGTTTCCAGTTTTTCAGTAATTGAGGATTTCGCTTTATCAAAAGCCTCCCAGCTTTCTTCTGAGCATCAAATTACTTATAAAAATCCCAGAGAGGTGCTCAAAGTTTTGTGGTGGAGTGATCTCATGGCCACTAGGCAACTCCCCTGCTTCCTACATTGGGGCTTGGAGTTAGAATGGTGTGGAAAGTTGAAAAATGAGTAAGATATCAAGATTTGCCCTTTGCAGAAAGAATGAAATGTTCGGGAGCATAGTGATGTCTATGCACTAGGGCAGCTGAACAGTTATTATAGAAAGGCTTATTAAGCACAAAATACTTACTTTCTGACTATATACAAGTTTAGCCAAGAAGTTGAGTGACCACAGTAGTTCTTTATTAAAATCTAGTGACCTGCTAAGAGTTGACTGCAGTCTTTGCATTGTAGCCAAAATAGACATATGAACTTTGAAGAACGGTGGCAAGCTTGGATTGTTCCTTTTGATTTTGTTTTCATTTACACTTTTACTAGGAAATTGTTTGATTAATAATAGCTGAGGCAATAGATAAAATGTTCCCAGAAAAATAATAATAGAATAGGTATGTGCTGTAGTTCATTGGAAAAATGATCTTAAAAGTTTTTATCCAGAAATTGTAAATGTATGCGAATTTCCACATGTAACCTTTACTATGTGATATTAATAAAGAAGTCCTCCAATGTTTGAAAGGCACAGCAACTCATCCCTACAGAGTGTGTCTCTTTCCTTCACAAGCGCCGACTCCAACCATCCTTCTCAGGACCTGAACTCTCACCGAGGCTGGACCCCGGCAGAAAGCACAGACAGAAAATGGTGCTGGGGTGACAGAAAAGTAAAAGCACAGGTGAGAGCACACAGGAGCATGCAGATAGGTCGGGTTTCAGAGTTTAAGGAGTATATACCTCAGCCCAGATGCCTCCCTGCGAATCTCTAGGTATGACTGACAGGGTGCTGAGTTATCTTAGGGATTCTCAACACACATGCTTGTCCCAGAATTCACTCTGATCTCAGTTATATTCATGACACGTAGTACATATTTATGAACCCGTAATGAGGGTTGAGTATGGTGAAGGTGACTGAAGGTCAGGCTAGGAGATCCAACACATAGGTGCTTTCTTTAGAGCATCAGAGATCTCCTAGGGTTTTGTTATTTTATTTTCTACCTCCCTTAGGACAATGCAAGAAGGACTGTCCTTAGAGTACTCTTTACAGTTATTTTGTGTGATTTTTTTTTCCCCATGGTACCAGGGATTGAACTCTGGACCTTGCGCTTGCAAGGCAGGTGGCAGAGCCACTGAGCTAAATCTCTTGCTACTCTTTATAATTAAATGAAGAGAAGGGAGAGACTTCCTCGGCTCCATCTTTTTTTTGTTTGAGTCAGGGTCTCACTATGTAGTTCTGGCTGGATTTGAACTATGTAGTCCGGGCTGGCCTTGAACTCATGGTGATCTTCTCGCCTCAACTTCCTGAGTGCTGGGATCATAGGCATGTGCCAGCACACCTGGTAGCTCCATTGTTTCTAATTGTACTAACATCGCTGTCTTTATTATCCAATAAGAATATCAAGAAACACATGTATACCTAGTAAATGCTCCACCTTGTGCTAGGCTGTAGGGATAGAGAGAAAAAGGGGAGATTTATGGTTCCCTCCTATTTTACTGAGTTGATCTAGTTCTGGTCCAGCACAATGGGGACACCTGGGAGAACCTTTCTAAATATTGCCTCTTAGTTTCCACCGCCTTCTTATCACCCCACAAGGACCTGGTTCATTAGAGAGCAGTACCTACATATGGATGTTATGAACATATGGTGATTTTTATTGGGGTTAGGGTGGGAATAAATGTAAAATTTCTATTAGACCTTTTGAAATAATGAAAATTACTTGTGAACTATAAACCAATTGGTTCTGTTTCCTTCTTAGGAGCAAGGCTGTCCCTTGTAATACTTCTGAGGCCAGCCTGCCTCAATTGGAACACATCCTTCTACCCACAGGCAGGGGCTTCAGTCTTTCCTGAGGCTGTTTCCTGATCAGACTCAGAACACCTTTGCTTGGTCCTAAAATTCTTTTTTCTTGGTACCAGGGATCAAACTCAGGTCCTTGCACTTCAGAGGCAGGCAGCGGAACCACTGAGCTAAATCTCGGGCCTGGCCATAAAGTTCTTTATTTGGAGTTTCTTTGTGGCTTCCCTGGACCCCCTCCTGTCCTGGGCTTTCAGATATCTCTTCAATAAAGTGTCCTGTCTTCCTACTTCCTTTCTAGCTGTCTTCCTCTGGCAGAAAAGTGGAGTTTCTGCTAAGTGTGTACCTAGACTTAAATTCTAGCAGTCCTAGGTACAATTACAAGAGGTGTCCCAGAGCTAGTGGTCTTCTACCTATTTGACACCTTTTGGCATGGAAATCTGTGAGGGGCTCTTACAGATTCTTAGGGCTAACCGGGATTTAAAAAGTTTTATGCAAAGACACAAACAGAGTAAAAAAATTTTTTTTCTTTTTTGAGGTAGGGTTCTTGCTGTATTACCTGTGCTCAGCTTCCTGAGTACCTTGGACACTACATGTGCAAGCCACTGAAACTTCTCTATTTTTCCAAGTGTGTTTTATAAAGTTAACAAGAGCACTGAATTAGTTACTACCAAACCATTGCTCTGAGAGGAAATTCAGGATGAAATACCTGTATCAACCAATACAAATTCTTCGTTTTATATATAAAAATAATTTTTTCTCTACTGCTGGTTTATTAACACTGAAGGCAAGGCCAACAGCGCTATATCTCACACTAGAAATTAATTTACGAAAAATCATGTATTTTCTCCATAAGGCATTTCACCTAAGCTTTCATGCACACATGAACACCAGAGAGAACTTCAGCACTATACTTGGAGGCAATTTTAAAACAGCGAATCCACAATAAAGAGGAAAAAAAATCCAAAAAACAAACAATGTGGCCACAAATAGATCATGAAAAAAGGCACATATTGGGCCGGGGATTTAGCTTAGTGGTGCTGCTGCCTGCCTTGAAAGCGCAAGGTCTTGAATTCGAAGCACTTGTTTGCAATATGAGAGCTGGATCAAGAAGGTGGGGTGCGGTCTCGATCTACCTTGGGTGAGAATGTGACTTTGGCAACTCAAATTGGTCACCACATAGAGACCTCATTGAGTACCGACTTGGGGGTTACGAGTAAAAGGGAGTAGGCAAGTCTGAAAAATACAGAATCGTCAAACAATAAGCCCTGCCTATACTGTCAAATGAGAAAAATAATTTTAGGGGCGTTTTTTTTTGGGGGGGGGGGTCTTTTTTTCACTTTTCTTTTTTGGTACCGGGACTCAAACCCAGGGCCTCGAGCTTGCCGGGCAGGCGCTGCGCCGCTGAGCTACATCCCCGGCCCTCAAAGGAGAAATTTAAGGTGTGTAAGGTGATGCACGCCGGTAATTCCAGCACTCTGGGAGGCTGAGACAGGAGGATCATAAGTGTCAGCCCAGCTAGGGCCATTTAGTGAGATCCCTTCTCCGAAGAAAAAATTTTAAAAGGGCTGGGACAGTAGCTCAGAGATAAGGCCCTGGGTTCAACACCTCAGAGCAAGAGTCGAGGCCCGCACAGCTGATCTGAGGCATACCTATGTGTACAAGCCTCTCTCCTAACTGGTGACCAGTGGTGTGAAGGCTGGCGAGAGCCCTGACTCTCGGGATCATTCACCACTCACTTTCCAAACAACCTGAGTTCCCTTTCCTGCCAGCCCCTCTAGTCTCTGATCTTATTGCTGGCCTTCTCTCACTCAGGATAATGGACCTAGACGCAGGCCTAGGAATAGCGAGCGGCTGCTGCCAGGCTGTGTTTTGTTTAGGCGTCTCAGGGGACTGAGTGTCTAGCTCAAACTTGAACTTGGCGCCGACCGCGTCCTGACAGACGTCAGCCGACTCCAGACCCGGACGTGCGACGCCTGCGACTCGGGACGCACCGGGCACGCGCAAAAACCCCGCCAGCAGCCCCTGGCCGAGGCCCGGCTCTTCGTCGCGCTCCCCCTGCGGATCCGGCTCCGGCGGTTGCAATCCCGCGTCTCCTGAGCCCCACTGGTTCCCGCGCTGCTGAGCCATGCCTCCTCCTGAGTGGAAGTCCCCGACCCTGCGCCGGGTGTTTGTGGTGGGGGTTGGCATGACCAAGGTAAACAGAGCAGCGGGCCGCCCTCTTCCCTGGGGTCTGGGAACGGAGGTCAGGACGGGGCCTGGGCTGTTCTGTCTGCCCGGCTGGCTGGAGGTGCCGCTCCCAGCGAGTGGCTACTCGGACGGGGTGTGATGTCGGAGTCTCGGAGATCCTAGTGTCTTCGCCCTCCCTTTCCCCTTCGTCCTCTTCTTGTCTGCTAGGTCCCCACCGTAACCCAGGGCTCTCGAACCTAACTGGAGTCCCAGTCTGTGTCGCTCACACCGAAAGGGAAGCGAGTCGGGGATATTAGCTTGGGACAGCCCCGGGGCGGGATGGGGAGCAGAAACGCTAGCGCTGCTCTCAGCGACTTGGCACAGATAGGTTTTCTGGATCCTTTCATTTCCTCTCTGTTTTCCAAGTGCCTGCCTGATACCCAGTGTCTAGGGGGTTCCGCAGGCTCACGTCCTGACACCCAGACCATGCTCTAATGACCCCAAACCCCCTTTAGTTTCTGTTCTTTTATGTCACTACTCGTACCGTGGACTTCACTTTTCTTTTTTTAAACCTCTTTGCAAGGCAGGCCCCTAAACCACTGAGCTAAATCCCAGCCCTGCCTCTTTGCAGTCTTAAAGGATCCCTTCAGGTGCTATTTTCTCTAGGAAACCTCTGATCAACTTGGCTTTTCTCCAGTCTTGTACTTACCTCCTGTCTTAGTTATCTTCTTCTCTCCGAGGCAGCACAAAACTGCAAGTTAACGGAATAGAGGTTTACAGTTTGTACAGCTTTCAGTCCATAGACCAGAAGGGCAAAGGCAGGACTGTATAGCAGGGGGGCTGCTTAGCAGCAGGAAGAAGAGAGGGATCAAGGGAGGAGGGAAGGAGCTAGACCCTTCCAGGCTCGCCCCCAGTGACCCACCTTCTCCAACCAGGACTCACCTCCCAAATCACATTTAGCTCTAAATTCATCCATGAACTAATCCGCACTCCTATGATCCAGTCACTTCCCCAAAGTCCCACCTATGAATGCATGAGACTTTAGGGGGAAATTAGATATAAACCATAGCATTCTGCCACTGATCCCCCAAAGAGTCATGCCTATCCCTTTGTGCAAAATGAATTTAGTCCATCTCTAAGTTGCGAAAGTCCAAACAGTTTCAGCACTCCTGAAACTCTGTAAGTGCAAAGTTTCCTCTGAGATTTAAGGTAAACTCAGTGGTGAGTCTCTAAAATTCACAGTTAAACTCTACTGATGTACAAAGGCGCAGGGTAAGAATCCCCATTCCAAAAGGGAGAAATGGGATAGAAAGGAATAGGACCAGAGCAAGAGTGAAACGCAGCAGGGCAAACATTAAATCCCGTAGTTCTATTCCAGCACCAAGGGCAATCTCCTGGTGAGATGTGAACTTCAAAGGGCTTGGGTGGCCCCACCCCTATGGTACTGCCCGCAGTTGTCTTGTGGTCTCTGCTGGGCTCTGTTTGCTCACTCCTGAAGGCTTTCCTCAGATGTTCCATGTTCCTGGCTTTTCCACCACCCAAGAGTCTCCACTACCTCTTAGGTGTCACTCTCACAGCTTCATGAGCTGTCCTCTCAGTGATCCACTGCGTTCTTCTGAAATCTGATTGGAAGCCTTCCTGATCCCGTAGCTCTTGTATTCTGCATGTACCTAAAACCAGCACCATGTGGATCACACCGAGGTCTACTGGAGCATTAGCAGAGCCCTTTAGCGTTTTTATTTCTTTTGGTGCTAGGGATTGAACTCTGGACCCTGTGCAGGCAGCGGCACCACTGGGCTAAATACCTGATCCTTTAGCATTTTTCTGATGGTTGCAGAGGCTTCTCAGTGCCTGGATGGCTGAGAATGGTGAACTGAATCTTCCCATTCCTTAGGCTGTGGCCCTTCTGGAGCATGGTGCCCTGGGGTATCTCCCTAAAGCTGTCTTTCACCTAGGTAGTTCTGAGCCTTGAAAGAGTGATGTCCTGCTCCTTGTAATGCTCTCAGGCCATCTTTCCTATTGTCCTTCTGAACTCTGTTCAGACTCTCCATCAAGATCTTACAGCATTTTAGGAATGTTTCTCTGCCAACATGTCCAAACCTTTCCAAACTCCTCCTGCAAGCCAGTTCCAAAGACTCCTGGACCACATGGTCTGGTAATGTCACTGCAATAATCCCCACTTATCTGGTGCCAAAATCTGTCTTTTTGCTGAGACACAGTGCCTAACACCTACAAGTTAAAGGCGCGTAGGTTTATTTTGGCTCACAGTTCTTGAGGTTTTATTCCACAGTACATTGGCTCTGAGGCAGCACAAACTGGTAGAAAGGCAAGACCGAGGAGAAGTAGCTCATGCATGGCAGTGGGAACCAGAGACAGAGAGAGAGAGAGAGAGAGAGAGAGAGAGAGATATCAAGGAAGGAAGATCTAGAAGGAGCTAGGATCAAGAAGCTAACCCTTTCCATGTTGTCCCCTCATTGACCTATCCCCTTCAGCCAGGCTGCACCTCCCAAATCACATTTAGCTACAAACTCATCAGTGAACTAATCCATCAATGATGTCACATTCCCATGGTCGAATCTCCTCCCAAAAGGCCCACCAAAAGTGCAGGAGGCCTTTGGGGGACATCTAGATAGAAATCATAGCATTTCCACTTTAGCATTTACTGGTGTGTACTGACATTCTGTTTGTGTGTCTGTACTCCCCTCATATAAGTGGGTCCAGGGTGGGCACCAAGTCTTATTCACTGCTGCCCTCCTTCCACCCTGAAGGTGCCTGAAGATCCTTAGTGAATGTTAGGTGAACAATATAAAATAGACACAGTTGGTGAAGAGTTCCTGGGGAGAGTTCTTTTTCTGTGACAACAGCCTTACAATTTCCATTATCTTACAGTGGGCTAAGAGTATATAATTCAATCAATATGTGTAAATAGAAAAGTTAACTAACATATTATAAGATAGAAGCTTGAAGGTCATCTTACTGTTTCATGGAAGAGGGGCTTTTTTTTTTTGGTACTGGGGATCAAACTGGGGTCCTTGTACTTGCAAGGCAGGTGGAACTACTGAGCTAAATCCCCAGCCCGGAGGGGCTTGCTAATATAGGTGAATAGTAAAACATTTTTTGAGTGCCCCCCCAACCCCCATACCAGGGATTGCACTCGGGACCTTGTGCTAGTGAGGCAGGTACATTGCCACTGAGCTAAAATAAATCTCCAGCCCGAGTGTTTTTCATTTTTCATTTTCATCTTCCATTGGATGTTGAATGTCGGATTATATGGGCTATTTTGTTTCGTTTTGTTTTTTGTTTTGGTACTGGGGATCGAACTCAGGCCCTTGCCTCTTGTGAGGTAGGCGCCGGGACCACTGAGCTAAATCCCCACCCTATTTGGGCTATTTTGAAAAGCATAGTTTGTTCCAAAATTCGGAGATGTATTTCTTTTTGCTCAAGTTGGGAGATGGAGGTGGGGGAGATGATACCATTCCTGAGGGCAGAGGTGGGGAGTGTGTGGAGAGTGCGCTTATCATTTCAGGATCTATTCAGTATACACAGTATGTGTTAAACTCAAGGGCCAGGGAGCATGAAAAAGCAAGGTTCCTGTTCTTAAGGAATGTACAATCTGGAGGAGAAAAAGAAAAGCAAGTAATTTAAGAAAGAAAATTTGGGACATTTAGTTGAACATAGCGCATTGAAAACATATATTTATCTCTGTTGGTGCTTCCCAAATCCTGCTAAAACAACAGTAAGGAAATAAATGTGTGTGAAGCACTAAGAACAAGGGGGATAGGAAAGGAAACTAACAGAGAGATGTCAGAAAAATTTTGGAAGATTGAAAGCTGTTAGAGAAAGGGTCCCTGACACAGCACAGGAACCTGCAACCCAAGTTCCTGAACCTGAGGAACTATAGGGGCTGAGTCTCCAGGCAGAACTTCAGGAGACCCAAGTCTTTGACTAGATGCCAGAAAGTTGGGAAGGAAGGAAGGAAAGAAAGAAAGAAAGAAAAAAAAAAAAGAAAGCTGCTGTGGAACAATTAGATATCAAAATCAATCTCTGTCTGTCTCTGTCTCTCAGTGTCGCTCTCTCTTACTAATGCAAATGATACTGCTCACCACAGTTACATTCCTTATGGGGAGTTGGTGCATGTACAGGACACATCTCAGTTACTTTTGTCAACGCCTTCTCTTATCTACCTCCCCGCTCCCTTCAACCTTTATTCCCCTCCCATAAGAGAAAGAGCCATCTCCCTACTTCTTGTAAGACTTAAGTCTCACTTTTACTTCTGGAGCGTGAACAGCCAAGAGGCTTCCACGATGCTGGGCTCAGAAGCTCAGCGAGGCTCCAGGAGCTTGTCGGACAGCGAGAGTCACCCAGGAAGGAACACACCAGGCAAGTTGGCAAATAGACCTTTATTAGTCTGGCCAGAAGGCACTCCCGGAGCCAAGCAGCTCAGAGAGGCAGCTAGCTCAGAAACAGAGGCCGTTTTATATAGGGCTATGGGGGGTTTACTCTCAAAACTTACAGGAAGGGGACAAAGGCAAAGAATCAGTTGATCTGAGCTGGTGGTCATCAAGCATATACTCAACTGTTACGTACTAATGATCAGCAGATCGATTATCCATTATTCCATTTACAACTTAGTTTATGATGTTCAGAACATTCAACTACAGGCAAGCAAGGAGTAGCGTGAGTGATGTTGGGTCTCTGTGTTCACTACAGTTTCCATTTAGTTTCCCAGCTACTTCTAAGCAGTTACCTAATAATTCACAATTGATCATTAGTTATCCTATAAGGGATGGGGGGAGCGACAGTCTCTAGGTCATTTGCTGGTCAACATGGAGTCGCTCTAGTTCAGTTAGACTCTTACATTCTTATTATTTATCCTTTATTTTATCCTTTATTTATACCTTGAGTTTCTCATATAAGAGAAAACATGTGATATTTAAGCTCTTGTGTCTGGCTTATTTCATTTAACATTATGGTCTCAGGTGCATGCATTTTCCTACAAGTGATCCAAGTTTATCCTTCTTTATGACAGGCTAGGACTCCATTGTATATAAATACCACATTTTCTTTACCCACTCATCTATTGATGGGCATAACCCACCTCCAAGATTTAGCTATGATGAACTGTGCTGTTACAAACACGGGAATGCATACTCACTGTAATATGGTGATTTTAACTCTTTGGAGAAAATACCTAGAAGGAGAATAGTTGTGTTGAAGGGCATTTTTTTGTTTTTAGGGTTTTTTTGAGGACTGTCCATACTGATTTTCAAAGTGATTGTACTAGTTTACATACTTGACTGCAATATAGAAGGATTCGTTTTTTCCTGCAGCCTGACCAGCATTTGTTAGTGCTAGATTTTTTTTTTTGGTTTTTTGAAACAGGGTCTCACTATGTAGATGAAACTGACCTGGAACTCACTATTGCTGGTCTCAAACTTGCAACAATCCTCCTGCCTCAGCCTCCAGAGTGCTGGGATTACAGGTGTGCACCACTGCACCTAGCTAGTGCTTGATTTCTTAATGATAGGCATTCTTTCTGGAGTAAGATGGAATCTTAGTTTGGTTTTTATTTGCCTTTCTCTAATGGCCAGAGATGGTGAACATTTTTTCACCTATTTATTGGGCATTTGTACTCCTGAGAATGTCTTTTCATTTCACTAGCACATTTTTTAAATTGTGTCTTTTATTTGAGAGGTTTAACTTTTTTGAATACTTTTTCTTTTTTAATCTGGCCATCAAACTCAGGACCTTGAGCTTGTGAGGCAGGCAGCAGCACCACTGAGCTAAATCCCAGGCCCTGATGATTCCTTTTCTTTCCTAAGTAACTACTCATACTACCTGGTATATTCATTCTACTAGCTCTTTTATTCATTGTTAGCTTCATTATCTCTTTCTAGGCTATCCTTGATCGTTTTTCTTTGTGGTTTGGTGGTTATGATTTTCTTGCATATGCTAGGCAAGCATTCTACCACTGAGCCACATCCCAAGCCTATTGGTCAGAGATTTCATAAGGTGCTCTTTATCATGGAAATGTCTTATTTCTCCATTAAAAAAAAATTTTTTTTTTTTTTTTTTGGTTTTTTGAGACAGGGTCTCACTATGTAGTTGAGACTGACCTGGAACTCACTATGTAGCCCAGGCTGGTCTCAAACTCACAGCAATCCTCCTGCCTCAGCCTCCTGAGTGCTGGAATTACAGGCATGGGCCACCACACCACCTTTAAACAGGGGTTTTAAATGCCATTTTTGATGTCTTCTGATTTATCACTAGTACCAATTAATCTTAGATTAGTCTTTGCTTCATCTAGCAGATGTTGGATCTATTTTTCACATTCCTTTGTTGTTTTTAAGGTATCTTACTTTTTTTTCCCCAGAAAATAATTTTAATACTTGTATAAGATATCCTACTTTAATTGGTCGTTAACAACAGCCCTGTCTTCTAGTTCAATCTTCACATTCTTTACTCCTGGTGCCCATACTTTGGATGGAATTTTTTTAATCTCCTGAATTTATGTTTGATGCTTTTTTATGGACTCTTAATTTTTTAAGCTGATCATTCAAGTGTTGTATAATTTTGTTTAGCTCAGCTAGCTTTTTATTAGTGTCTTTTGTACACTGGCTAATTGCTTTGTATATTAGGCCCATTATCTGTTTAGTTATATCTTGAATTTTCCAAGTGCCTTATTGATCTGTTTTGTTATTACCTCTGTTGTGCTCCTTTCAGCAGGCCACACATATGCTAAAATTGTTACCGCCTCTGTTATCCTTCTGAATAAATTTGATGTATAGCTTTTGACTTCCTCCCCTTCAGTGTATGGAAGTTGGAAGATTTTTGGAAGTAATTTGTTGCCTTCTTTTCATGTTTCTGTTTTTATTTATTTATTTTTGCTCTTTGAGCTGAAGTTTGCAGGTTGGTTATAATGGAAAGCTTTGTTGCTAATTTAGTGACCTCTCTGGTTAATATCTGCTTTTTGGTGATGCTTTATGGGCATGGTTATCTATTGGCCTTTGCCTGTATCCCAGGATCTAACCAACTCTCCAGGGAGAGTTACTGCACATTTGGCCCAGCAACCAGTTTTCCCAGCATTGGCAGTAGTATTATTAATGACTCAAAGGCAATCTAGATACTGGCATCTAGAGTGAATCCGTGACTAGCAATAACTGTGTCACCTTAGCTATAGTAATAAAATCAGCAATACTAATACCATCAAAAACAGATTGAATGTTGACATACCCTAAGAACCCATAATATGCCACCCTTAACCGCAGAAGAGAGATCTGTAATTATAGTATAAATGCCAAGACAAACCAAATACTGACTTACAGTCAATATCTACTAAATGGAATTACTTTACTCCCACCAGCAATACAACAGTATTTAACAGTAATAGCACAGAGTTAACTAGCCAGCTAAAGATTCATAAAAGCTTATAGTTATATGAGCAGAGGTAGAGGGGGTGGGAAACCAGAGAATGAAAAAAAAAAGTAAAATTTGTCAAATTTGTCAATGGAAGATGAAAGGGAGGAGAGCAAAATGAGATGGGATCCTATGGAGGCATGAAAGGAAACTGATAGTAATAGGAAGCAATCCCAGAAAGGAATGAATAGGAAGAGGTAGAAAAAGAGAAAAACAGCAAAATACAGGAAATTAAAGAAAGATAAGAAGGAAGAAGAAAGTTAACAGAGAAAAAGAAAAGGGCGGGGAAGGGATGAAGACCCCTAGCTCCCAGATGACGTCTCCTCCCAGGCAGTGGTCTCATCAGCGATCTGGCTGGTTGTTAGTCCTCCCTCTGCTACTTCATGCTAAGTGGCAGCAAAGCATAGCGCCAGCCTGAAGTTGGCAGATGGGTGCAGCTGCTCTGCATCAGCCCACTACGCGACACTACACTTCTGTTGCTCTCCATTGGCCTGTGCCGGGAGTGGCATGTGGCCCCAAGATCTTTTACCAGGTGACTTTATCTTTTCTGGGCAAAGTTTGGAAGCTTTGTCTCTAGAGAAAGCTCCAGAATCATCGGGGCCATTGGGCTTAATGGAAGCAATGGTGAGCCCCTGAATGACAATGGTTGGTATTTCCCATCCCTGTTCCAGAGAACTGGTATTCACACATTTACCACCTTCCTGGTGGAAGTTCAGAAAATTATTTGATCTTCCTCTTGTTTTTTTTTTTTTTTTTTTTCCCCTTTTCTTTGGTACCCGGGATTGAACTTGGAACCTTGCGCTTGTGAGGCAGGCAACAGAACCAATGAGCTAAATCCTCAGCTCTCAGAAAATTATTTGAAATGGCTCCAAAGAAGACTGAGGATGTAGCTCAGTGGTAAAGTGCTTGCCAAACATGCATGAGCCCCTCAGTTCAAACACAGTACTACAAAGGAGAGAAGAGAAGAAAAGAGATGAATTGACTCCAACAGAAATGAGCACAAAGGCCGGGTGTGGTGCATACCTGTAATCCTAGCACTCAGGAGGCTGAGGCAGGCGGATCACTGTGAGTTGGAGACCAACCTGGCTACATAGTGAGTTCCAGGTCAGTCTCAACTACATAGTGAGACCCTGTCTCAAAAGACCAAAAAAAAAAAAAGAGTACAAAGTACAGACATTTCCCATAAATCACGTGTTCCTTACCCAACACGAATGCAGCCATCATTATCAAAAATCCACACCAGAGTTGTACAAAGTCCATAGTTTATTTTGGATTCACTCTTTGTGTACATTCTGTGAGTCTGGCCAGTATGCAGAGAAGCACATCCACTATTACGGTACCATACTGAGTAGTTTCACTGCCCTAAAAATCCCTGCGCTCCACCATTCATCCTTTCCTTTCCACCAGCTCCAGGCTACCACTAATCTTTTTACTGTTTTTTGTAGACTCACCTTTTTTCCAAAATGTCATTTAGTTGAAATCATACAGGATGTAGTCTGTTCAGATTGCCTTCTTTTACTAGATAAAATTTATTTCCTCTGTCCTTTCTTGGCTTGATAATGCATTTCTTTTTCATACACTAGCACTCCATTCTTTTGGTCGTTCATTGACCACCTGAAGGACATACTGATTGCTTCCAAGTTTTGGCAACTATGAATAAAGCTACTAACCATCTATGTGCAGGATTCTTCTTCTTTTTTTCCCCCCAGTACTAGTTAATGACCCAGGGTGTTTGCACTGAGCTATATCACCAGCCCATTTTAAAATTAATTTTTTTTTTTTAAAGACAAGATATTAGAGTTGCTAAGTTGCCCAAGCTGGGTTTGAATTTTCAGTCCTCCTGCTGCAGCTTGAATTATATGTGCACCATCACACCCTGGTGCTGCAGTAATATGTTTTGTTTTAAATTCATAGCTGATGAATTTCTGTGTTATTATTGTGAGAAATCTAACTATGCTTGTTTCTATTTATTATCTTCCCTATGGCAGTTCACGAAGCCTGGAGTTAAGAATTCAAGGGACTACCCTGATTTGGCAAAAGAAGCAGGTAATAGAGAAAATCCAGACTGTTGAACATTCATTGCTTAATGTTTGGTCATTTTATTCCATGGTTAGGTTGAAGCAGCTTTCAAGCATAGTGAAGCCTACTCAGTGGGGAAGAGCTTATGCAGAGCATGGCTTGGTGGCATCCTGGAAAAGAGGAAGGAGAGAGGCCATATGTGTTCTCAGCAGCCACATAGCCAGTGTGAACTGTGGCTTACAGTTTATGTGTTGTCCAGATGCTTGTTGGGATGCTAAAGGGATCTGTGGGAGGGAAAGTTGGCATCTTTAAAGTAGACAGCTTGATTCCAGTGTATGTTTGTGGAGTTACAGTAGAAGTAGTGGGATGCTTTCCTTGCCTGGAAAAGGGAGAATCAGATTCAGGATGTATGAAGTGCTCACGTGGTGGCTTTTTCTCTCTTCATTTCACTAGGCCAAATGAGAGAATTCTTTTTCCGACACCAGGCTATTGCATGACTAAATGAGGTGATGTGCTTTGTTTATTGTTTATTCTAGTGTGTGTTAGGGCCAGTAAGCAAAGGACTTGGCTTAATACTTGTGAGCTAGAACTCAAAGAGAGAAAGATCCAAGTTCTTGTTCCCTAAGCATTTGACATTTTTTAGACAGTCTTGGGCCTGGATGCAGCTGTCTTCACTATGGGTCTGAACTCTAGCAGAGAGATATCCTTCCATTGTTCTCTCTCTCTCTCATAAGCATAAGTGCTTCTTTGCCTGGCTGAAGGAAATAATGTTGAATGAATGAATGCATGAATAAATAAATAAAAATAAGGGGAAGGAAGGGAGTGAGGGAAGAAGGGAAGGAAAGGGCATTTAGCCTAAGCCTAAGTGCCTGTGTTAGGCACAGCCCCTTCATGGGGAGCCCTCCTACCCAATTCCTGCTAGCTTGTTGCTGGGAAATTGAAAAAGTGTTATTGATATTATTCCTTGGATATTCCTGCTTGTTTCCACGTACTCTGTGAATACTCGGTGTACCCATGCATGTATATTTAAATTCTGCATCAACTTATTATTCAACTCAATATGTACATGTCATTTAATTAATCAGCGCATCTTAACCCTCCATCCCTAAATTAAGATTCATGAGATTTGATCAACTGTTCTTGTTTCTCATGGAGGGCACTATTCATTTCATGTTTATCCTCTGTGTAGAAACTCTTCTTTTGTGGGAATTGACTAGTAACAAGACAACCTGTCTGGTCAGGTGTAGTGCTACATACCTATAATCCCAGCTCTTGGGAGGCCGAGGCAGGAGGCAGGAAGATCATCATGAGTCTGAGGTTGCCTGGGCTACGTAATCAGTTCAAGGCCAGCCTGAACTACAAAGTAAGACCTTATCTCAAAAAACACAAGGCAAAACAAAAACAAAACAGAAAAATAAAAAGGAAAACTAGCGTGAACAGCTCATCTTACTTGTTAATATAAATTTTGTTTTGGAAGTTACAGTAGGAAAACAAACAAGTGAATTTTCTGTAGAATAAGCCTTGAAAACTTAACTTTGGGCTGGGGCATGTCGCTCAGTAGTAGACCACTTGTCTAGCATGCATGAGGCCCTGAGTTACATCCCCAGCACTGCAAAAAGAGAAAAGAGAAAAAACATGCTGGAAGCACTGTGTGTAGATCACTATGGCCAGGCCTAACTTGCCTCTTTCCGCACATGAGGCAGGGCCCTGTGTGGAACAAGGAACATGGTGTGCCTTCCTCCCTGCCCACTCCCCATAAAACCATCAAATGATGGTTCTGCAGACCTTAGCTACTATCCTGGCTCTGGTTACAGACCGGCACCTTTTACCGACCCCTGCACTTCCCTTACCTCTACCACTATAAATAAGTGTGCTGCAGTTGCCTGGCCGACCTTTTCTCCCACCAGGAGGGAGGCTCCACCTGGCTCCAGCTTTGTTCTTTTGTATCGCTTTGGTTTTTCTTCATCTCCCACCATTCTCACAGCAAAAGACTCTGCTCATGTAACTCACAAACTGACACCTGTGACATTTTTGTTGAGTATTTTTCTAAGCACAGTTTAGACAGGCAAACCCCTAAATGAGTGTAAATGATTATCACTTTGTTCTTTTTTTTTGGTACCGGGGATTGAACTCAGGTCCTTGCACTTGCAAGGCAGGCCACCGAACCGCTGAGCTAAATCCCCGGCATCACTTTGTTCTTTGAGGGTTCATTGCAGACTGAGGTGCTGCTGCAGGGTGATTGCCTCATAGAACAGTGAGTCCAGAAGTCTCACCCTCTCCTTCAGACCAGTTTTGCAGTTCTTTTTTTGTTTTTTGTACTGGGGATCGAACTCTGGCCCTTGTACTTGCAAGGCAGGCAGCGAAACCACTGAGCTAAATCCCCAGCCCAGTCTTGCAGTTCTTCCACTATATTCTTTCCCAGCAGTTCTAGATGCAGAGTGGAGAAGGGCGTAACCAGAATTGTGTCCTGTTACCTCCATTATTTGGGGATGTCAGCACTTTATACTTTTATTCTTCCCCCCTTCCCTCCAAGAAAGGTTGGGATCCGTTGTACCTAAGTACAGATGACACTCATTGGAATGATAACAGCATTTGAACTCTGAAACTGTTTTCTTTTCTTTTCTTTTTTGAGCCAGGGATCAAACTCAGGTCCTTGTGCTTGTGAGGCAGGCAGCAGAACCGTTGAGCTAAATCCCTGGCCCTGAAACTGTTTTAGATAGTTAACATCCATGCTTCTTTGTTTTCTCATCCCTTATCATTTTTATGTAATAATTATTTTAATCTGAAAGTTTATTCAGAAAATTTCAACAAACCGTGAGTATCTCCTGGACCCTGTTGTAACCAATTTTTTCTCTTGGGGCTCTCGTGCCAAGAGCAATGGAAAAATGAAGCCCACAGCATAGCAGTGGGGAATGGAACCAGGTGTGGTTTATTAGAAAGAGAAAAAGGAAAGCTCTTGCTGGAGAAGAGGGGCTCTAAGGGAAGACACTGAGGAAGTGTTCCGATCGAGAGGTTTATAAGCAGCTTTTGGTGTGCGAAGAGGGCAGACAGATATGGGAAAATGCAGTTGCCACTGTTGCTAGGCTCTTGACTTTTTTTTTGTCCTGCCTTTGGACTCCAGTTTTCTGAGGCTTGTCCCATTTTACACAATCACTTGTCCTTTGTCCCCTGTGCTCCAGTTTGCCAAGGCTTATCTTACTTTGCCTTCAGTATATTCAGGCCCTTGCCCTAATCTGCCTATCATCCCTTCTACCTCCCGTCTCACCGCAAAGGATTCAGGATGGTGTGGTGGGCAGGTCTCAAGGCCCTACCACATAGTAGAGGAAGTGAGGCAAGTTCATTTAGACCGTGAGTTCCAACAGGCTGTTGATATTTAAAGGAGGGGCAGAAAAGCAGTACATTGGTTTAGAGAAAGTAAAGTTTTATTGCAAAGCAGGGTACAGCTTACAGTCAGCAATGATGAGCTCTTTGTGGCCCATTCTTCCTTGCTGATTATAACAGCATTGGATGTATGTTATCAGAATGCGATTAGGTAACAAGGAAAACAATGTTGTGGCCCAGACTTAGCCACAGATCTTGTACTGTGTACTTGTACTCTTGTATGGTGTACTTGTATTTTATTTCAGTATGTTTCCTCTGGTTGTGTATAAATGAAGTTTTGTATCCCAGTTTTAAAAACTGATTTTCCTTGGGCCAGGGATTTAGCTCAGTGGTGCCACCACCTGCCTGGTAAGCACAAGGTCCCAAGTTCAATCCCCAGTACCAAAAAAAAAACCCCCCAAAAACCAAAACTTCCTTGTCTTTATTTTTACATACTTTTTTTTTTTTTTTTGGTACCAGGGATCAAACTCAGGTCCTTGTGCTTGCCAGGCAGACAGCGACACCACTGAGCTAAATCCCTGGCCCTTTATTTTTGATTGTAGAATTGGGCAACACTTCATTCCATAAAATAAGCATTTCCTTGTATTCTAATTTTGAAAACATTTTATCATGCATTTTCCCATTATTTAAAATTGTTTAAAAATGTCTAAGTCTTGTACACTATTTTATTTATATTTATGCCCGAATTTTTGTTGGAATTTAGGTTACTAGCTTTTTTGCTATTTTGGGGTAATCACAGTGACCATTTTGCTAAATAAATATTTGTTCTCATGATTGGTTATTTTTGAGGACAGAACCTAGAATCATTTGAATAATGACTTTGAACATTTTTCTTCCCTGATGACTGAATATTTTGAAGGCCTTGCCAAATTATTTTTCAGACTGTTAGATTCTCACTGGCAGTATATGAAAAAGTTCTTAACATAGTTTCCCCAACTGTAGATAGATAAGTAGACAAGTGGTGGGGAATGGTCTGGGGGCATTCACTCAAGAACTTTTGGCTTCACTTGGCCCTGAGGTTCAGGCCAGGTACAAAAGACCAATAGAAAATGACTAGTGGTGGGAGGCACCTGATTGTTAATCAGTAAGAAACACTAGGAACTTTCCACCCCTGCAGACGTGTGCAGTGGCGATCCTGAGTGCCTTGATTCAATCTCTTTGTTTATATATGTATTTGTGTGTATATATATGTGTGTATATATATATATGAAGGTCGAGAGGGTAGAGTACTCTACAGGCTGGAAGTGTGGGGAAATACAGGGAACCAGAACAGAGGAACTCATCATTGCTTACTGTAAGCCATGTCCTGCTTTGCAATTGAAACTTTGTTTCTCGAAACCAGCACTTTGCTTGCACATAGTTTCTCATTGCTGGAGTGTGGCAGCTAGCCAAGTTCTTCCTAGACTGCCAAAAACCAGGACAGTGACATTATTATAAATAAAAGGCTTAGTTTTTGCTTGTGTTCTGAACAGAAAGATAACTTATTTTCTGATTCAGCCAATCCTATAAGCAATTATATGTTTTCCATTAAATTAAAAATATCCAAAGTAATATGTTTATTTAGTTTTAAAAATAAATCCGGGCATGGTGGTGCATGCCTGTAATCCCAGCACTGGGGTGGCTGAGGCAGGAGGATCACTGTGAGTTGAATAGTCTGAGCTACAAAGTGAGTTCAAGGCCACCCTGAACTACCCAGCAAGACTGTGTCAAAAAACAAAACAAAAAAGTTGGGTTTAGTCTTCAGTACTGGGGTGCGGGGCGGGGAGAAAATGGCTTGTAATTCACAGGTCCTTCCCCGAGGGACAATTACAATTAAAAAAAAAGAAAAAACCAAAAACAACTCTTTTGGCCTTAGGTTTCCTGGGTTACCTATATACACAAATGCTTTTTCTACAGTGCTCATCAAAGTTTTTGATTAATCAATTCAATTTATTTATTTATTTATTTATTTATTTTGGTTTTTTGAGGCAAGGTCTCCCTTCATAGTTCAGGCCCTGAACTCAATATGTAGCCAGGCTGCCTTGAACTCACAGCTGTCCTCCTGCCTCAGCCTCGTGAGTGCTGGGATTACAGGTGTGCACCACTACACCTGGCTCTGATTAATCAATTTTAGACATTGATTTAGATCTCACTCTTAGGAGTTAATGTATTTACAGTTAGATGTGCAGTTAGGACAGAAAGTGTTAAGTATCAAAAAAGGAGCTTTAGCTGCCTCCCTCGAAAGCGCAAGGTCCCAAATTCAATCCCCAGTACAAGAAAAAAAAAAAGCTTTGGAAAAATGAGGCAGTAACTTATGATTGCTTGTCATTCAAATTGAACATAGACCATATAGAGGTAAATATAACGTGAGAAAACTTTAAACCTAACATTCACTCACCTAAAGCAAATACTTACAGTACTTTCTTTTCTTTCTATGAAAAAAATAGAACAAATTTTAATAACCAAATAATAAGAGAATAACGTTATTACACTGTGAATTGTTATCTTCAAAATAGTAACTCAGTACAAGACATAAACCAGAAACATTTTTACAAAAGAGAAACAGATAACACAAACTTTCTTTTCAACAAACTAAGATAAACTATTAGTATAAATGAAGCAAATTAATATATATTGAATGTTTTAAAAACAATATGGGATATGTAATTTGGGAAAGTATTTGAGCCTCTCCCCACTTCCTATTTATCTGTTTTCTATTTTGATAGATACATATACATATATATGTATATATATATTTCTCATATAAGAGAAACCATGTGATATTTGAGCTTGTGTGTCTGACTTATTTCACTTAACATGTTTTCAAGTTGCATCCATTCACCTACAAATGCCTCAAATTTATCTTTCTTCATGGTTAAAGTACTTTTTGATTAAAAAAACCCTTCTTGTCTTTATAGGTCAGAAGGCCTTAGAGGATGCTCAGATCCCTTATTCAGCAGTGGAGCAGGCATGTGTTGGCTATGTTTATGGTATGTAGTAAACTCTGTGTTCCGAAATTATTCACCTAAATCCAGGAGCAGCTGCATAAATAATGTGAAGGTGTTGGTCAATTTTAACCTCAATAAATAAGAAGCTTATTCCCGTCATTCATAGGTTTCCTTTGTGTGTTGGCCTTGTGTAAAATATTTATCTTTTCCATTATTATATTACCAAACATAAGAAAAATTTTAAAACATTGGTTTTTTTTTTTTGTTTTGTTTTGTTTTTCCTTCAATACTAGGATCAAACTCAGGACCTTGCTCTTGCGAGACAGGTGCTGTGTCACTGAGCTAAAGCCCCAGCCCTTAAAAACATTTTTGATCTTTTTTTTTGGTTTTTTGAGACAGGTTCTCACTATGTAGTTGAGACTGATCTGGAACTCTCTGTGTAGCCCAGGCTGGTCTTGAACTCACAACGATCCTCCTGCCTCAGCCTCCCGAGTGCTGGGATTACAGGCGTGAGCCACCACGCCCGGCCTATCTTTAAATTATTAAACTTATTGTTCAGAAGATAAAGTTTTGCTTTTGTTGGTTTAAAATTTGTATTTATTGACTTTTTTGTATCTAAAATTTTTTTTCATTAAACAGTTTCTGATTAAAAATATATTTCTTGGGCCTGGGATGTAGCTCATCAGCGCTGCACCAGCCTGGCAAGCTCAAGGTCCTGAGTTCAACATATATATAAAAAGGGAGCCACAAAAAGTACAAGAAAGGTCAAGTTACCTCTAATCCAATTATTTTCATTCATCGGTGTATTTCCTTCTGTGACTATGTATGTGATGGAATATGTGTGTATACAGGCTTTAGTTTTCTTTTCCTTCTCTCTGTCTTTCTTTTCTGAGGCAAGGTCTCAGTATGTAATTCAGGCTGGCCATGAACTTACTTTGTGGCTCAAACTTGAGACCCTCCTGTCTTAGGCTCCTGAGTGCTGGGATCACGCCCAGTAAGATTTTCTCTTAAAGAAAACAAGGTCCTAATATACATTTTTGTAATGTGCTTTTTTCATTTTACTATACTGAACATTTTTTCCCAGTAAGTCTTGTTTTATAACACCATTAACATTTTCATTTAAGTTTATTATTTTTGTAATTGCTTAAATATTAACATGGCTCAAAATACAAAAGATTATAATAGTGGTTATGTACAGGAAAGTCTTACTCTTATACAACTTATACACCAAACTGAAAGCCTTACCCTTACACAACCGCAGTACCTGTCCTAGTTTCTAGTGTACCTTTCCAGACATACACTATGCATGTACAAACAAATGTATGTGGAAATGTAATTTCCCCTTATCCTTGGATTGTTACATGCATGGTAGTGTAGCGTAAACATCATTTTTTATCTTGCTTTTTTGCTTAGCAGTTCTTGACAACTTCCAAATTCTATCTTAAAGAGCTACCTTGGTCTTTTTTTTTTTTGATAGTATAGTATTCTATTGAACAAATATAGGGGGCTGGGGATTTAGCTCAGTGGTTCCACCACCTGCCTTGCAAGTGTAAGGTCCCGAGTTTGATCTCTGGTACCAAAAAAAAAAAAAAGAAATTAATTTGCTTATCTATTACCACTCATGTTACTCATGTTGTATATTAGATTTCTAGAACTTGTTCATTTTCTTTTTTAAACACTTTTTTTTTGGTACCGGGGATTGAACTTGGGACCCTGAGCTTGCAAGGCAGGTGGTGGAACCACTGAGCTAAAACTCTGGCCCCCACTTGTTCATTTTCTAACTGAAAGTTATATCCTTTGACTATTTCTCCTACTCCCTTACAATATTTTTAATGATTTCATGGTATTCGTGTTTTGAAGGTCTTCTAAACTATTATTAGTAGTAATAATATCCTTTTCTTGAGCATTTTAAATTATTTCTAATTTCTAGTTATTATGAAGATACTATAAAGGTGTTATGATATTTTATAGTGTTATTGCAGATGAATCTTATGCATATCTAACATTCATTTCCTTGAGATCTTGAAATATCAAGGGTATTTCAGAAGGGGAATGTATACTGATCACGGATCACACTTTTTGGTAATACCTTGGCACATAGTATCTTTTAAACCTTCTCTTTTTTGGTACTGGGGATCAAACTTGGGACCTTGTACTTGTGAGGTAGGTGGCGGCATCACTGAGCTAAATCTGCAGCCCATCTTTTAAACTTTTTGAAGTAGTGGAATCTTTTTTTGGTACTGGGGATCAAACTCAGGGCCTTGCACTTGCGGAGCAGGTCATGAAATCACTGAGCTAAATCCCTGTCCTAAGTAGTGGAATCTTTTTGAGACAAGGTTGTGCTATATATTCAGGGTGGTCTTGAACTTGGGCTTAAGTGGTCCTCCTATCTGAGCGTCACATGTTGGGGCATGTGCCACTGCACTCAACTTACGTTGTAGAATCTTTATACGAAAAATAAATAAAGATCTTTAATCAGTTGTTATAAAGCTTTAAAAATTTACATCTGAATGTCGTGTTCGTGCTTCCTTTATGGTGTAGCCCTGTTCAGATTGAATTGCTTGCTATCTCTGTATTATGTCAAGAAAGAACATATAAAATCTTTATTTTGATAATTTTTTGTATTTGCAGAGTAAACAATACTTAATGCTCTATGTGCTTCTCAGTTAGACGTCAACAGTGAATTTACCATCCTGCTCACTGTGTGTGAGAGATCAGGACGTAGTATTTTGTGGCACTGCAGCTCCTTCATTCCCATGTTGTAGGTATTCACTTTTTTGTTTGTTTTTCCGTACAGGTGACTCTACCTCTGGGCAGAGGGCTATCTATCACAGTTTGGGACTGACTGGAATTCCTATCATCAACGTCAACAATAACTGTTCTACTGGTTCTACTGCTTTGTTTATGGCCCGGCAGCTGATTCAGGGTGGTGAGGAATGCTCATTTGTCTAGTGTACTCAAATAGATGTGAGGTTTTTGCTGCTTTTCATCATTTCTCCACATTATCATTATAATGTATTTCTTAAAAAAAAAACAACAAAAAACGCTTTACTTTCAGCTGAATGTGGTGGTGCATTCCTGTAATCCCAGCACTCTGGGAGGCTGAGGCAAAAGTATCTCACATTTAAGCCCAGCCTGGGCAACAATTTAGTGAGATGCTGTCTTTTTTTTTTTTTTTTTTTTTTTTTTTTTTTTTAAGACAGGGTCTCACTATGTAGTCGAGACTGACCTGGAACTCACTATGTAGCCTAGGCTGGTCTCAAACTCACAGGACCTGGAGCTCACTATGTAGCCCAGGCTGGTCTTGAACTCACAGCAATCCTCCTGCCTCAGCCTCCCGAGTGAGTGTGCGCCACCATGCCTGGCGAGATACTGTCTTAAATAAATAAATAGATGAATAGGTAGATAGATTCATAGATGGGGATGTCCCTCAGTGCACAGGCCCTGGATTTAATTAATCCTCAGTTCCTGGGGTGGGGAAGGTTTATTGAGATATAATTCACATAACATAAAATTCATTTTTGGGGGGTATACAACTTAGTATTTTTTAGTTATGTTCACAGAATCATGCAGCTGTCACCACTGTCTAATTATAGAACATTCTTCTCACCCACGAAAAAGCCCTGTGCTTACCAGCAGTCACTACTGTTTTTCTTCCTGTCCCCAGAGTCTTGTAGCCACGGATCTGTTTCTGTGAATTTATCTACTTTGGACATTTATATGAGCGGAAACTTATAATCCATGCCCTTCCGGGGCTTCTTTCACTTAGCGTGTTTTACTCTTTCATCATGCAGTAGCATGTATCAACATTTTATTTCTTTTTATGGCCAAAATTCCATTATATAGCTGTACCATATTGGTGGACATTGTTGTTTCTATGGGCTTTTTTTTTTTTTTTGCTACCATAAATAATGCTGCTATAAACTTTTGTGTACAATTTTTTAGAGGCCATATTTTTAGTTCTTTCCGATCTATGCCATACTCTTAAGTTTTGAATATTCTGAGGTCTTTTATTAGGCCCTCTGTTCTGTTTCACTGATTTGATCACTGGTTACAACTCTACATCTTAGTGTTGTAACTCTTGGAGTTTTGAAATCTTAACTGCATGACAAATCTAGTACCCCTCCTTCCCCTTCATTATTTTTCCTTTCATTTTTTGAAGAAAAATTTTTGTGAGTTTGTCATGTTTCACTCTTTAGTTGAACTTTAACGTCATTTGTAGATGCTCCCTTTCCCCAAAAACAATTCTGTTGAGATTTTGATTGGAATCTTTAGCAATTTTTAATTAATTTTAAAAACTTTTAAATATTTTAAAATTTACAACTTGCTTTTCACAGTTGCCTTTCTAAAACATATTCCACATTGATAAAATTTTTATTAGTGGGGCCGGGGATTTAGCTCAATGGTTCTGCCACTTGCTTCAAAAGTACAAGGACCTGAGTTTGATCCCCAGTACCAAAAAAATAAAGAAAATTATTAGCATATTGAAAATTAAGGGATGAATTAAGCACCTTGATTTTTCCTCTTATTTAGAAGCATGTAAGAATTTCTCTGTACTTTTCACTAATAAAAATTTTATAGGATTATGAAATACTTTTGCCTTTTATGGAAATTGACATACTTATTTTTTCATTGGTACATTTTAGATATACATAATGATAACATTCACCATAAGGAATTTATACCTGTACATGGCATATTTAAATTTATTTAAATTGAAATATTTATAGTATTCTGTTGGATGTCTGGTAATTTGAATTTTCCAAATAATTATATTTTCCTTTAAGGTTTGGCAGGTTGTACTTTGGCTCTTGGGTTTGAGAAGATGGAGAAAGGATCCTTTGTATTAAAAGTAAGTCTCGTTTATTGTTATTTTAGAATTATTATATTACTATGAGAAAACTTTGCCCAACTGATTATCATAGTCTGTTAGTGAGCAATGTAAAACATAATTTAGCATAGTTATTTAATAAGTTGATTTAAGGTGAGAGGTGATAGATACCCTATATGTACCCATACATCTGGTATTTCAGAATAGCAAAGAATCTTAGAGATATTTAATTCAAAGTCTTGGTACTGGGGATTCGAACCCAGGGTCTTCACACTGAGCTGCATCCCCAGCCCATTTTTTATTTTTAATTTTGAGACAGGGCCTTGCTAAGTCCCTAAATTACCCAGGCTGGTCTCGAATTTGTGATCCTCTTACTTCAGCCTCTCAACCTGTTTGGGGTTATTATATGCCTGTGCCACTATGCCTGGCCAGTTGAAACTCTTTATTTTATGAATAATAAAAGAGGTTGAATGATGGAATTTGAGGTTAGCTCACCTATTTAACTTGAAAGTCACTCATCCTATAGACTGGAAAGAGTTAATACCACCAGTTCTGGTAATGGCATTCCGCATTATTTGAGTCAGTTCTTCCACTAATGGCAACTAAAATATTTGGATAGGATATGAAAAAGCCCTAAAGGCATTGAAGAATGACAAGAGAGCAGAGCTACAGGTGGACACCAAAGAATTAACATCAGCCTTTGAAGCTTTTCTTGCTTTCAAGGCCTTTGCTGATCAGAAAGCTGTGAGCTTTAGGGTTGCTTAGCTCAGTGGCTCTGCCGCCTGCCTCACAAGTGCAAGGTCCTGAGTTCGATCCTGGTACCTGAAAGAAAAAAAATGTGACCATTTCTGGCTTCATTTGTGTTGAGGATTCACTCTCAGTTTTTGTTTGTTTTGAGACAGGGTCTTGCTGTGTAGTCCAGGATAGCCTTGAACTCACTATGTACCACAGGCCGACCTTGAACTCACAGTATCCTCCTGCCTCAGCCTCCTTCCTGAGTGCTGGTGGGGAGTACCACCATGCCCGCCTTCACTATCAATGTTAACATCATGTTGTAATGTTGACAGTACCAATACTATGTTTTTCTTTGCCATATAGGAGGCCAGTGTTAAGTCTTTCTGAAATCCAAAGATTGTACTATACATTTCTCTGTTGTGAACTTGCAACATTTTTTCAGGAGTCTTGGCATTGTTCTTGCAAATAGCTCCTGTGCTGGTCAACTGGTGTTCTTTTTTGTTTGTTTTCCTGTTTTTTTTTTTTTTTTTTTTTTTTTAAACAGGGTCTCACTGTGTAGTTGAGACTGACCTGGAACTCACTATGTAGCCCAGGCTGGTCTGGAACTCACAGCGATCCTCCTGCCCCAGCCTTCCGAGTGCTGGGATTACAGGCGTGCGCCACCACACCCGGCAAAACATAGGCAATTTTGAAGGAAACCAAATCTCTTGTGTGTCATTATTGTTCTGAGACTCACGACGCCACATCTGTCATTTCTCCACAAATCCTTTAGATTCAGACAATTAGAATGATGAAGTCCTGGATGGAATCCTAACAAGGCTTTTAGTTTAGATCGTGAGGTGTCACAGTATATTTTTGGCGTTACTATTGATGCATATGGAATGTTTTCTTGTATTTCTTTATTAGCGTCTTTCAAAACATCTTGTAGCATGTTGTCCATTACACAGTTTCTAACATCGAATCACAGGGTTGGCATTCTGTCTGGTAGGTTTCACCCCTGACAAGAGCCCAATGACATTTTCTGACCTAGTTTATCGTTGGCTCATTCAGGTACACATGACCATTTGGTAGCATTTTGATAAGTCAGGTATTTATTTACATTACTGTGTTCTTCCTCATCTGAATCAGGGTCTTCAGTCTGTACCTTCTCTGTCTGTCGTATCTGTCCCATCTTGCTGACTTCTGTGGCTTACATGATCCAAGTCATCATCAGTAGCCGAGTCACCCGATGACTCACTTTCAACCTCCTCCTGAGGTTGTAAAAGTGGACTTTCATGTGGTGTACTGAATTGGGCTAATTCTTCAAGAAAAATCAAAAGAAAATATTTGGTAAAAAACTATAAATACAAAAAAAATGTAACATTGCACATAACACGGGTAAAACTCAACCATTACACTTTGACACACATGTATACACCTCGCCATGGGTTTTCTCAAGAGGGTGAACGCAAAGACTGCTTCCTGTATTCCCCTAGCGCAGCTACTAAGGCACACAGCTGGCTACTGTCACGCTAAAGTCCGTATTTTCAGTAGGAAAGTCTGTTATGGGCCCAGCCCCACTATGAACCAGTCAATCACACACTAGATTCAGCCACCTCCCACGTAGCTTTGGGGGGACATCCAGACACAAACTACAATAGTGTTGTTTTTTTTTTGTTTGTTTTTGTACTGGGGTTCGAACTTAGGTCCTTGTGCTTACAAAGCAGGCGCTGGAACCACTGAGCTAATTCCCCAGCCCTGATTTTGGTTTTTTGAGGCAAGGTCTCTCTGTGTAGTTCAGGTTGGCTTGAACTCACATGATGTATCCCAGGTTGGTTTTGAACTCGCAGATCCTACCTCAGCCTTCTAAGTGCTGTGGCATGCACCACCACGCCCAGCTCTCTCAGTGTTGTTTTAATTTGCATTTCTCTAATAGCCAGTGACCATTTTTTATGTATTTATTGGCTATATGTACTTCTTCTGAGAAGTGTCCATTCATTTCAGTTGCCCATTTTTTGATTGGATCTTTTATTTGGGGGGAAAGTCTAATGATTTTGAGGCCTTTTGAGTTTTAAATTCTAGATCGTAGTGCTTTGAGGTATAGCTGGTAATTTTTTTTTCCCATTCTGTAGGTTGTCTCTTCACTTTTTGGTTGTTTCTTTGCTCTGAGGAAACTTTTTAATTTGGTCTAATTTCATTTGGTGATTTTTTTTCTTTTTTTCTTTTTTTGGTACTGGAGATCAAACTTAGGGCCTTGTGCTTGCGAGGCAAGTGACAGAACCACTGAACTAAATCCCCGGCCCCTGGTCATTCTTGATGTTATTTCTTGTACAATTGGGGTTCTGTTTAGAGAGTCTTTGCCTATGCCTATGTCGTCAAGAGTTTAATCTTTTAGCAGATTAAATATTTCTGTTTTAATATCTAAGTCTTTGATCCATTTGATTTTAGTTTAGTATATTGTGGGAGATACAGGTCTGGCTTCAGTCTTCTCTGTGTATAGCCAGCTTCTCCAGCACTATTTGCTAAAGAAGGTGTCTTTCCTCTAGTGTATGTCTTGTTGCCACTATGTCAAAGATCAGATGTCTTGAGTGTTCCTTGGATTGTTCATCCTCTGTTCAGTTCCATTGACCCCTATATCTGTTTTTGTGTCACTACCATGCTGTTTTTAATCATTGTAGTTTTGTAATATAACTTGAAATCCTGCTTTGCTGTTGTTACCCAGGATTGCTTTTGCTATTCTGGTTCTTTTCTGGTTCCATGAAATTTTAGGTTTTTTATGGATCTGTGAGGAATGTTGTTGGTATTTTTATTAAGATTCCATTCAGTCTGTGTATCAGTTTTGGAAGAATGCTGTATGACCATTTTGACAATGTTATTTCTGCCTATCTGGGCAGAGAGGTATCTTTCCTTGTTCATCTCCTTTTTGTGGGGGGGGGTACCAGGGATCAAACTTGGGTCCTTGCGCTTGTGAGGCAGGCCACCGAACCGCTGAGCTAAATCCTCGGCCCCTCTCCTTTTTTAACATAGTATTGCTTTTATTATAGGGATCTTTCACTTCCTTTCACTTATTCTGTTTTTGTTGTTGTTTTTGAGGCAGTGTCTCACTCTATAGTTTGCGCTGGCCATGAACTAACTATATAAACCAGGCTGGCAATCTGCCTGCCTCAGCCTCCCAAGTGCTCAGATTACAGGCTCTACACCTGGCTTGGATTTTTTGATGCTATTGTGAAGTGCATTGTTTTCCTAATTTCTTTCTGGGTGAGTTCATTATTGGTACAGGAACACCATTGACTTTTGTGTGTTGATTTTGTATCGTCCTACATGGCTAAATTCGTTATTCTAGGAGTCTTTAGGTGGAATATTTTGGGTTTTCTATGTGTAAGATCATGTTGTATGCAAATAATAATTTGACTTCTTTCTATTCTGAATCTATGCCTTTTTTTTTCCTTAACTGATTGTTCTGGCTAATGTTAAGAGTATTATATTGAACAGGAATGTTAATAGTGGACATCTTGTCTTGTTAATTTTAGAGGGATAAATTTCAACTTTTCCCCATTTAATATTATGTTGGCAGTAGGTTTGTCATAAATGGCTTTTATCAGATTGAGATAATGGCTTTCCATATCTATTTTCTTTAAGGTTTTTTAAAAACTCGTAAATGAATATTGGATTCTGTCAAAGCCTTTTTGCATCTGTTGAGATCATCATATGATTTTTATTTCTTGAGACACGGTCTCACTATATAATTGAGCTGGCCTAGAACTCACTGTGGAGCTCAGGCTGGCCTCAAACTTGTGGCGATTCTCCTACCTCAGCTTCCTGAGCACTGGGATTACAGGTGTGCACCACTGTGTCCAGCCATTATATGACTTTTATCATTATTTCTGTTTCATACATTTATTGATACATATGTTTATTATTGTTTTTTCGGTACCAGGGATCAAACTCGGGACCTTGTGCTTGCAAGGCAGGTGGTGGAACCACTTAGCTAAATCCCTGGCCTTATTGATATGCATGTTAAACCATCCTTACATCCCTGGGATTAAGTTTACTTGGTTATGATCTTTTTGATGATTTGTTGTATCCTGTTTACCAGTATCTCACTGATTTTTTTTTTTCTGCACCTATGGTCATTGAAGAAATTGACCTGTTAATTTTCTTTTTTAGTTGGGTCATTGTCTGGCTTTCAAATCAGGGTAATGCTGGCTTCCAGGAATGAGTTTGGAAGTACTCTTGCTTTCAGTTTTATTAAAAATTCAGAGGAATATGGGTGTCAAGCAGTGTGGGCTTCATTGTGCCTTTTTTTT